TTGGCGACGGTCTGGGAACCATCCCTGAGGATGATCCGAAGTCATGCCATCACAATTTTGATCCTCTGCAGAGGGGATGGCACCCCCGCTTCAGTAGCCCGACGACCTGCACGCGAAGTCGAGCACTTTACGGTAGCACAGTTTAACGAGGACCAATACCGCGCATCCTCGGTCCCTACGCAGACTGATCCAAGTAGTCACCCACCCGCCTGAATTTATACAGTAGTTCATCAGGGTTTAATATTTTGATAAGTTAAAAGCGTTATCAAAAAGTTTTCCAATTGAATTCAATTTTTAAAAAAATAACTTGTATGAAAAGTATTAATTTTACATTATTATAAAGCAATGCAATAAGTGTAATTATCCTTTCTGATCCAAATGGGATATATTGGTTTATTGGATTTATAAACATTTGCAGGCTTGTGTGCTCAATTTAAGCTTACAAGCCTTTGTCAATTAGAAAGACAGATAACACAATACAGAGAAGGACAGCACGAAGATACATCTAGAATAATAGCGGGATTCGGACCCGCTACCTACACGCTTTGCACAGCGTTTGGCGGATGATATCGCTCTACCAGGGAGGCCAAAATGGTACGTATACGTCCCAAAGATTAAACCTTATTTTCTAATGGATAAACAGATCCCAATTTTGCACGTTTTTTTTAATGTTTTCAGAGTTCCTCAGACTCGCAGTGGACTAATCATAGAGACACGGTTCCCAGTAGAACACCCATGTCAAGCATCACTGGCTGCAGTCAGTGAGCGGGTGGGCGACCATTTTTAACAGTCTGCGTAGGGACCGAAGGTACGTGGTATCGGTTCTCGTTATTCTACCGTAAAATACTCGACTTCGAGCGGTGGTCTTCGAGCTACCAAAGCAGGGGAACCATCCCCTCTGCAGAAGATCAAAATTGCGATGGCGTGTCTTCGGATCATCCTCAGTGATGTTTTCCCAGACAGTCACCAATAGCCCATTGCGCAGCTCTAGTGCGACGTAAATGAACTATAACTACAACTACAATTAGGCATTAGGGAATAGTCCCGCAGTGGACTGATCGTTAAGACACGGTTCCCAGCAGATCACCGAAGTCAAGCATCACTGGCTGCGGTCAGTGTGCGGGTGGGTGACCACTTGGATCGGTCTGCGTAGGGATCGAGGGTGTGCGGTATTGGTCCTCGTTAAACTGTGCTACCGTAAAGTGCTCGACTTCGCGTGCAGGTAGTCGGTCGCTACCGAAGCGGGGGTGTCATCTCCTCTGCAGAGGATCAAAATTGTAATGGCATGTCTTCGGATCATCCTCAGGGATGGTTCCCAGACCGTCGCCAATAGCCCATTGTGCAGCTCTAGTGCGACGTAAATTAACTACAACAACAACAAGCATTAGGGAATAAAAATATGACTAAAGGAACTTGGCAACACTCTCATATTCAAATTGGCGGACTTCAGTTCGCGAGCACGCCTGTTAATCTCGTTTTAATTTACGTATTTTCTGAATTTTGAGGTAAGTTCAGAAATTTTGCCATATTTCGTGTTAAATTGTTTTGTTTCTTCTTATTATCTAATAATTGTACCTATTTAGTATCAGATTTAAGAAAATTTGACACGTTTTTTGTGGTATATAGTTTCTTAATCGTACTTACCATTGGGACAATATCTCAATCGTACTTATTAGTGGGACAACATATCCCATTAGTAATACAAACATTATAAGTAAAATTTTAAGTTTTGTTTGGATTATTTTATAACAGCAACTTCTTGTTTCTATCATTTCTGGTAAGAATAAATACTTCGATGCATTTATATTATTTTCATTATTTATTCCCATGCAATATATAGGTATTTTTACAATATTCAGGAGACTTATTGTCCCAGGAGATTCACGCGAAAAGTGGGAAACGTTAAACTTTTAGTATACTTATTTTAATACGTCAGCATTAACATAAACTGCTTTTCATACTTAAATTTTAATGGTTTATTTAACAATTTCTTGATTGATTATGATTTATTGAACAATTTATTGATTTATTACAATTTATTGAACAATTTATTGATTTATTAGGATTTGTTGAACAATTTATTGATTTATTAAGATTTATTGTACAATTTATTGATTTATTAAGATTTATTGTACAATTTATTGATGTATTGGGATTTATAGAACAATTTGATGTATTAGGATTTATAGAACAATTTATTGATGTATTAGGATTTATAGAACAATTTATTGATTTATTAGGATTTATAGAACAATTTTAGAACTATTTTTCATACTTAAATTTTAATGATTTATTGAACAGTTTTAGAACTGCTTAAGTCATTTAGTTTATTGGTATAAAGTGAGGAAATTTCTTTTTCGTAAACTTTAAGAAATCCTTATGTATTAAAAAATATCTAATTTCATTCGATAAGTATTTTATTCTAGCACCAGCTTTGGAATTGAATCAATCGGTTGTTAAATTCGTATAACTAAGTTTCCGGTGCTCTTTTTACTGTTCACCAGTTCTGAATCATATATACTGTCCCTGGCCAAATTATTAGACGCACTGTAAGATTCTATGTAAAATTTTAATTATCAGGTGATAACTATACAGCGTTATTGTTTTTACGTGGTTTGCACTTGTTTACGTTCGTGTATCGATTGGTTAAATTGGACGATATATAATATAAATTCGGCGATTGGATAAATTAGACGATATATAATATAAATATAGAACATTCATTATGTCAGGTATTATATTATTATATTGTAATGATTAGATAAAATTATTGGTCGCACAGTAGTTCTTTAATAATTACATGTTTTCTACGAGTTTATATGCAGTACTTTTATATTTAAACATGCATGTAATGGGTTTTTATTCAAGAGATTTTTTTATATACTTCTTATTTGTGTTTATTTTTAACGTGTTGCATTACAATATTAACCAATTGATACACTAACGTAAACAAGTGCAAACCGTGTAAAAACATTAAAGCTGTATAGTATCACCTGATAGTTAAGATTTTAAATAATGTTATAGGGCATCTACTAATTTAGCAAGATACTGTAATCAAAGCACACATGTAAATCGTGAAATGCATGTAAAGTTCGAGATTTGAAACAAAATAATGCATGGAAGAAAAATTTATTTACAAATGTTACATTTTTCATACAATCTTCAAATATTACAAAAAATAGTAATCAACAACACTTTTTACATAAGATTTACTTCTCAGAATAGGTTTTTAAACTTCCATATTTGAGTCTCAGTTAAAAGTCTGGGAAACTGATTTTTCCTTTTTTTTTTTTTAATCAAAAACTTCTGCTTAAATAAGAACTTGTTTGATATTGAACACGGTTCTTAATTTCATGCGAATAAAATGTTTTAATTACAAAATTTTTTATCAAACGTGATAGATTTTTCATGAAGTGATTTAGTTTAAAGTCTAACAGAACTTGTTACGGCATTTAAACTAGAACTAAACTTGTCTATCTACGAAACAAAAAAGCTGCATGGTAAATTTAATGCTTTAATAAAAGGGAAACAAATANTTCTTTTTTTTTTTTTAATCAAAAACTTCTGCTTAAATAAGAACTTGTTTGTTATTGAACACGGTTCTGAATTTCATGCGAATAAAATGTCTTGATTACAAAATTTTTATCAAACATGATCGATTTTTCATGAAGTGATTTAGTTTAAAGTCTAACAGAACTTGTTACGGCATTTAATCTAGAACTAAACTTATCTATCTACGAAACAAAAAAGCTGCATGGTAAATTTAATGCTTTAATAAAAGGGAAACAAATATTCAGAAAAAGCATGATTTCCATAAATAAATAAATATTTGTATTGACTAGCATTGCATTTTAAGAATTTGAAGTGTGTTAGATCTCAGTAGCGATGAAATTTTTATGTAATCTTCATATAGTGCTAAATTAAAATATATAAGAGTAATTTTGCATTTACGTTGAGATGCCTAGTGGGCAGACAAACAGGTTTTTATACAGAAATTTGTCATCACATAGAATCCCGCATATTCATGTACGCAAGCTTTGTATCGAATTCATATTGTAGTAACTGCGTTGCGCAGAGTATACGTTTTCTGCGTAGGTGAACTTTACATAGCACGCCTACGTCTGTAAATAGAAATTATTATTAGATTGTTAGAGATTGTTGAGCGTGCATGATGTGAAACTGTCGTTTTATCTAATGACTCAATACTATGGTTCAATTAATTTAGGACTAATATTGAACTTATTTTTCTGAGAGAGTATATAATACACTATTTCAACGCTTTAAATTCCTTTTCATGAATTTTAATTTTTTCAACAAAAAATATTTAGCGTTTTAATTATGAGGTTACAATTGATATAAATTTTTTACCCATTAGCAAAATGGGTCTTGTTTTGGGTTTGATGGCATGTGCACTTTATTTGGACGTCATTACACTTTTCATCTGTGTTCAAGAGTAATAGCAAGCAGTGCACATGCGTTGCTATGACGACCGCTACTGTTTGATAATTTTTTAAGAATTTTTTTTTTTTCACTGCTAATTTTGCTATGCATTAAGTTGGTGAATTATTTTTTAGATATGGGAGCAGAGAGATCCCATAAATACTTCTTGAGTTGTGAATAAAAAAAAGAGAATTTCATCATTTGAATGATATTTTTGTATTTATTGTTTTAATTAAGAATAAGAAATTTTCTAACCTATTTTCTTTATATTTTTTTTTAATTTTATTTATTTATTTTTGCTAACTGACTTAAATTTACCTAATTAACAAATTCACTTCGTATCAAATGAAATTTCTTCTACCAATACAAAATTAGATTAGATTGCAATAAAACAGTTGTGTTTATTATCATAATCTCATTTTTAAAAATTTTTTTAAATTATTGATGTTTTTAACTGCTTTAAGTTTTCACTCTACGATTATTTACAATATATTTAAAAACAATACGCGAGTAGTTTAAAAAATATTTATTTAAAAGGAAAAAGAATTCTTTGCATGGTCAAATAAATAAGTCAATTTTATTTTGAGACTTTTCATTTATAAATTTAAGTTCGAAATGTACCAAACATCGAAACACAGCCACAATAATTAAACTATAACTTGGAAGTTGATGTACTCAGGAAGTCTACACTAGTATTAGTTTAAATATCACTTTAAAAGTATAGCTCGTTCACCAGGAGTTGGCACTTGGCTCCGCCTTTATCACGTGGTATAGGTTTATTTGGCGATCGTATGGCAAAAATATTTATTTCGCAAACTTTATGTGCATTTTTTTAACATTAAATATTTCACAAATTTGATATTTCACGCCATTTTTTATGATATTTCTCCCTTTTGAGTGAATTTGTCATTTTTGAGATATTTAGCTAGGAAAAAGCAGTATTTAAATTTATAATATATTTTAATTAGCTAGAGAAACGAAAGGTATAATAGCAGATGATAAAACGAAGTAGACTGAAAAATAAGTCACTGTTTGCTTGTGGCGCGCATTAAGGGTTGTCTCAATTTCAAGCGCGGTGATGTTTCTCTTCTCACTCCCGCGATGAAATGAACTCTGCGTCCGAGGAGGTGGAGCCGAGTGCCAACTCCTAGTGAACGAACTATATTCATTAAATATCAGTTGAAGAATGACTGTATAAAAATGAGTTAAATATCATTTGAGAAATTGGTTTAAAGCAATAAAATCAATAAAACATTATCAGTAAAAATTTGAAACGTCCAAATGCCAGCCGTGAGCATTTATTTACATGGACAACAACAACAACAACACATCCCCTATAACTACTGCCAAACAAAGTAGTTAGTCTTTCCCTCCATCAAACGCACATTTATGTTTTCATACATGAGCATGCTCCTGCACACACAACATCATGAATAAGTTATCTATTTTGAAATTTGATGCTTTTTTCCCCCTCCATCCTTTTGTTCGATTGAAACACTACAGTTCTCTTTTGTCCAAAGAGGAGCCGCATGAGGATGCGGGGGAGGAGGAGCAATTGATTCGATGGTCGTGCAGTTGTATGTCTTCGTCGTCATCGTCTGCTTCGTCCACTAGAAGACTTTTGAAAGAGTTTCGAATCTCTTCGTCTTCCTCGACGCGGAGTTCACAAGTGTTTCTGTTGTTGTCGCAGAAATTGTCATTGTTATTGTTCTTGTTCGAATTCTTTTTGGCTTCTTCCTTGGATGGGCAATCGGCGATCAGGTGATCAACGGATTTGCAGTGGTGGCAGCGTTTGGGCTGTGGTCCCATGGAGCATTTGGCAGCTATGTGGTTGGCAAACTCCCCACAGTTGTAGCACCTGCAGAAATAAAATTTCTTCACTAAAACATCTTTAGAAACAAGTAATATATAAAAACAATTAAAGTCAATTCCTACTTAGGTCAACAAATAAAAATTATTATGAAATAATTATAATTTTTTTCTCCCATATAAAACTAAAATTAATTAAATTTAAATGTTGAATCAATATTTGAAAAAACAGTATTAACATCAAGTGCCATTCACTACAAGTTGAATAAAAGTATTTTATAAATGATTGAAAATTTAAACAAGATATATAAATAAATATATATAGGGAGAGAGTGAGCTAATAGTAGGAATTGGAAAAATAAGGTGCGTGGTATCAGACAACTATAAAATATAAATTTGATGACGTGGACCACACGTGCTACCACGTCATGTTTATTGAATTTATCCGACACAGTGAATATAAAAAAAGAAATAGTGCGTGGAGTCCCTCCGCTCGGAAGGAGTTAAACTTCGCAACCAGCGAAGTTAATTGTAGAAGAATCAGCAGTCGTAGAAGGATCACTAGTTCTATTCAACGACTCTTTTTCCTGCTCCGCTCGCTTCCGTGCTTTGTAATAACGGTATTATTGTGCATTTTTCCCTCGTGGACCTTTTGAACCAGTGGAAGTGCTTGTGGTTGCCTCATCGTCCCGCCATGGAAAGTGTATTTGTATTAATAATGTATGCGAATGCGTCATAATGTAATTTCAAAAGAGAAAACCTAAAGGTCTGGTTTCTTAGGACAAACGCCTTATCTGAGCGTCAGCAGGACGTCAACGTCCCGCTGACGCCAACAAAATACTGGTTTGTTAGCTCAAGACCTGGTTTCTTAGAACTAGCACCTTATCTGGGCGTCAGCGGAAAGTTGACGTAGAGCTGACGCCAAAAAAATACTTTTTTGTTAGCTCAGCGTGAGCAGTCGGTCCAACGCAGACATTATCTCTCATTGCGCATGCGTT